CGAAGGATTAAATATACATTCTCTTTATTATGAATTTCGGGTAGAATTCCCAGCAGAGATGTTTNAAATACATAAAACTGAAACAAGAAGGTTTTTTTTAGGTCTGATGGATAAGGAACTTGAAAGAAAATGCAGAACTTTGTTGTTTTATATGTTGACAGCGGTGAGACTCTTATATGCACAAAGGTAGAAAGACACATTAATTCCCATAATGGAAGAATTGAAGGTAAAGGTTGGCAGAGATAGCAAAACTTGGCTGTTCTAATTACAGAGAAGAATTTATCTAGTTTTGTTTTGATTTGGAAATTACATCTGGATTTTATACTCAAAACTGAAAAAAATGAAATTTTGATTGGACGTTGTGATGACTAGAATGACTTTGTTATAGAAATTGCTTGAAACTTTTAGAACTGTAAAGCAAAATATTGGGATTATATAATTTCCCCCTTTATTTCTGAGCTTCTCTTTTCTTTCTTAATTTTTATTTCTACTTGTATTTTATCTTACAATAAATTTGAAAAAAACTTTTTAAAAAGCAGGTAACCAAAGCACCTCCATCAATTAACAAGATAAAAATAAAGCACTCCCTGCAAATTCTAGTCTGCTAGTGATTGCCATCTACAGGGAGCAGTGCTTTCCGTGTCATGTGGCCAGCATGACATTGTAGAGCACAGTTATCTTCCCACCAAAGTGATACCTATTTATCTACTCACATTTGCATGCTTTCCAATTGCTAGGTAGACAGACAGGGCGAGGACAGGAGTTCACCCCATCATGTGGCACTCAGGTCTCAAACCTAAGCATCTTAAACACTAAGCCACTACACTGCCGATTTACTTACTTCCAACCTATCTTTTAACCATTTTTACTATTTGTAAAACGAATAGAATTGCCAGAGATATTACTGCTATATGTTCCATCTGATTCTTTTATAAACTTATTTAAATTTTTTAACAAGCATTCTTCAACACACTATTTCTACCATCATTTCAATACAAAATAATGGTTGTTTTTAACAAAAAATTAAAATGTAGGGGTTTGCAAAATATTGAAAACTTTAAATATGTTGTTCTAAAATACAGGTGTCAAACTTGCTGCGTCACATTGACCGTCACATGATGTTTCACATTTTCTCCATTCACGAAGCTGGAGTGGGCGTGGCCTGTGCATGATGCATCCAGACCGCGGGCTGCCAGTTTGACACCTCTCTACTAAAGACTACTATCTGAATTCAAAACAGTTGTTTTGAACACAAATGGATAGTCTTACAAATCTGGATGTGTTCTCATTCTGAAACATTCCCACTCTGACCTCAAAACATATCTATTTCAAGATTTGAATATTTCTGAAATGGTTAGAATAACCATTACCCTTACAAACTTGAAACAACCACACAGCCTAATAAGTATTTGGGTTCACAGCACATAAACATTAACTTCTATTAATGTCTCAACTAGAGAAACCAACATGTGCTTGGTAATCAATAATATATGTTTTTTGCTGTTTGTACACAAGATTTTGTTTCTGTATCCCTGTAAAAGAAAGAACAGTGAATATAAAATCTATTTTTTAAAAAGTTTCTTAGCCATTCCCGAATTATTTTACAGGAATACAGTATAGGAAGCAAGCTTAAACGCTGTTTAATAGAAATCTTTGTGAACTAATAATTTAAAATAAATTTGAAAATTTAGGCCAAAGCTACCTTTAAAAAAAATGATACTATTTCCTTGTATTTGGGGAAATAAATTTAAACTTAATAAGTATTATAAATATTATAAAGTATAATGAATGAATAATTTAAATGGAGATTGAAAACTTATATGTTACATATTATGTTACATATTACACATTACATTATTAAGTGCCAATAACATGTCTCTATGTGCAATTGGTAGACTTGAAGTATTTTAGCAGAAAGTGAAAGAGATACTTTCTATACTTTACTTAAATCTTAAGGATGGCTTTTGTTGTTTACATATTCTAAGAAAGTAGGGTTTTTTGTTATCTGCAGTTGACTTCTGCCCCATCTCTATTGGTTCCCTTTGTAAATGAGAATGTAAAATCAACAGGGAGGAACAGAAGTGAGTCAATGATGCTGCTGAGCATGGTGCTGAAACAGAGTAAATAGAACTGATTGAGAGTCAAGAAATATTAGCAGAAAAATAGTCCAAATTCTCTTTATAAATCATATTGGGCCTCCCCTTATTAAAATTCCTAATGAATGACAATCTTAATGTGTACTACCACATTTGCAGATAGCATTGCACAGGAAATTTATAAGTAGACTGAAAATTGTTCCTAGATTTTTTCATTCATCTGAAATTAATTCAATATATAAAATAAACAATTATACAATTAACAAGAGTAAACATAAGTTCAAATAGTCTCAAGCTTTATTAAAAGAAACACTAATGTATTTTCTAAATCAACAACAAACAGGCTGTGTTTATTTTGAAAATTATTAGGAATGCACTGGAGTCCATACACAAGGACCTCTTTAAAGAAACATCTTCCTTAAAAGCTTGAGAAAGTCAGTTGCTTTAATGGGTTGCAATGAAAAACTCTGTACTTCCCAAAGCAATGTTTCCAAATCATTTTCAAAACATGCACATAGAAGGCAATATGATGTCCTCCGTATATTTTGGACTATAACTCTGACAAGACATGGTTAGCCCTGTCAAGACAGCTATTTTGAAGGTGGTATTCAAAACTTTAACCACACAAATCTTTGCTTTTGAGAATATTCTGTTACAGAAGGGTTTACTCTCAAGATATTGCATATAGGCTATGCTGCCTATCCCAGGATCCCCCACATGGTGTGCTATGTTTTTTGTTTTGTTTTTTGTATTTAAACATTAGGTTTTCCTTCTTAATTTTCTGGACAGAGAATTAATTAGTGTAAGTGAAATCAGAAGCAGTTCATGATTCTACAAAATTGTTGAAGCCAAACATGTTTAGGAAATATTTGAATGGAAGAACATTAAAGAATATTAGTTAAACTGCCTTAAACTCAAAGCAAAAATATATAAATGAAATAAGTTTATTTCAAAGGAAAATAACTGGGAAAATAAAGAATATTTGTTTCAAATGTAAGTATAAATTATAGCAGCTACAAATGTGAAGACCTATAAAAAATACAGGAAAAAAGATGAAAAACTGAAATGAAAATTATTATTCAATATTTTATATCTTAGAATGACTAAATGCTTAAAAATTATTCAAAATGCACAGGATGAACATTTGTATATACGAAGCAATTTGCAGCATTTGTGAACAATTTCACCTAAATAAATTTTCCATGGCATATGAAATTTGATTTGATGCACGAACAAATTTTTCTTTAATATTGTCATTATATAAAAATGATTCCTGTCTAGACTATTTATATTTATTATGAATTTGGGGTTTTATTACCTTCTATTCTTATCAAGCTTAAAAACTGAATTAAATGATCTACAGAAAAATAGTCTTTTTTTTTCAAAAATAAAAATTTATAAATGTTTTTCTACTAGATTTAACCACATTATATGCCATTAAAACAAAGTTATTATATAAATTACATTATAATCCTTTAAAAAAATCCAGCCAACTGATTGGATATCATCACTATAGTACAGCTTGAAGGCTGGCATTGAAAGATTCTGAACAACTTAAGACAAACAGTTCAAACCTAGATTGTTTTGCTGAGTTAATATTGCTTGACTCACAATCAGCTCATTAGGTTTTTTTTGTTTCACGTAAGTTCTTTTATCAACTCAACAATTACAGTTTGGAAATCATATTTATGAATCTAGGGTTAAGTCAGATACCAATAATCTGTAGCTAAGTTATTCAATACTATAAATATACATTTGAATGTAAAATCACAAAGGTTGAATCTCATTAAAGGCAACTTTAGGCATGTTTAGCCAAAAGTAAAATCTATTAACTCTAATAGTGTTTATTCTATATAGGTGTAACCTAAATGCAAGAAAAAATAGAATTATAGTGCAATCCTATAGCTGTCTATTCAAAAGTAAATGTGAATTGAGTAAAATGTAATGATTTTTTTAAAATTACAATATTCTACATATGTAATGTTGTGGTAAGTTTATTTACATATTTTAGGACAAAAATATTAACCACAAATGATACCTCTAAGCAGCTCTCTGTACACTTGAAAACATCTAAAACATACATCAAGTCTTTTGTTTTCAAAGCAAATGGCTTTACATAAAAATTAAATGTTTATAATACTTCATTTCTAACTGATGTGTGTTTTATGTTTATGGTCTAATCCAATTAATATTTTCTGAGAAGCAATTTCCATGGAAGCTTTCAATGTGACTTACTCTGAAATAGGTATGTGTTAATTATCACCCTTTTAGCTTTTTTATGTGTTTATTCAAAAGTAGGTCCACCAGGTTCAATACAGCATAACCAGTAATTCAATTTGATGTCTGCATTTGTATGTCACACCCAGTTAAGTAAACCATGGTTTACTTAAATTTTCTGAATTCAAGATAAAATGAACTATGAATTAATCACAGGAGCTGGGTTCACATAACAAACCAAGCTAAAAATCGGTGATTCCACATATCATCTACACAGTCTCCATACAATTTCATGATTGTAGAAATCTTGCAAACTGATCTTAAAAATAGTAGCACAACTGATTATCTGAGTTCCTCATAAATCAAACGTGGGGGTATTTTCTCCTTTTACCATTCTCCCAAAAGTTTTTTTTTTCAAAGTAGCAAATCCATTTGCTTAATAAAATAGTAATAGTAGGAAGCCAAATAAACAATATGTCATGTTCAGATGGTCCCCCTGAGCAACCTGCGTTTCCTATACATCTCTATATCATTCCCCACCCACCCAATTAACCAAAATAAATGAAATAGCCGCTCTTGTTATTAATTCAGCAGTTTCGATTGGTTGAAATTAAGTCACTCCCTCCCTTTTAGCAGGCTACTCCGCGTATATAGCACAACTGCTAAAGATACCCTTTCCTTAGGAGTTGTTGTGTATGTGCTGCTTTCTCAAGGCTAACGCAAGGAGGTGCAGACTTTTTTTTATTAGGCCTCTTCCATCATCCGGATTGTTGCCGTCTCCGTTTCCCAAACCCAACCTAATGTAAGCAAAGGCTATAATCTATATATACATATATAGGTATATGTATAGATATATATTACATTAGGTAGGATTTTAAGGAGGGCTGCAAGCAGACCCAAACTCCATCTGCGGTTATTCACATACGTTCTATATTAACGTAAGCTACCACAACTGTTATTTGCGGGGAGGGGGTGTTGGGGGGAAATTTGTCACCTCTGCAAGGGGGGGGAAGGTATTTAAAAAATGGCAGAAAATGGGTTAAGAAGAAATTGGGGGGAGGGGCAGAAGCTGGGCCAAGGGGGGGGGGGTTAAAAACCCAGAAAAACGAGCTTGTTTGGGTTCTCCCCTCGTCTCAATTCCAGCCCTAATCGTAACTCTCCAGTGGAAGTAGGGAGACGTCCGTCCCCCCCACCCACTTTTCTTCCTCGAATAGCCCCGGTTCCCCCCCTCCCCCCCACGGCATCTAGGCCTCTCTCCTAGCATTAGTATTACAGGAGAATGGCAGCAGCCGCAGCAAATCCTCCACTCCCCACCATCTTCTCCCCGATCTCGGGCCACGAGAGCCTCAAAACCCTTCCGCATCTCCTCCTTGAAGAGTCCCAAGACGTACCTCGCTGTTAAAAGCTTTCACGGCCTCCATGTTGTGTGGCGGAGGGGAAAAGGCTTTAGAACCGCGCCGAAAGGGGGTTGATCTCCGCTGTGGGGTGACGGCGGTCGGCTTCTTTCATGGGCCACCGGGCCTCGTCGCCATGATGGGTTCAGAGATGGGGGGAGGGGGCGGCGGACGGGTCGGGGAACCCCCTTTCCTCCCTAGTCCGCTGGGCCGCCCCAGGGCAGGCTCGGCTGGCGCTGCAGGGACAAACACGCAATAGCTGCGGCGCGGGCACCAATATGGCGGGCGGGAAAGCTCTTTCGCTCGCAGCGGCGTACTTCCCTCCGAGAGCAGCCGAGATGCGCGGGCCAGAGCGGCTCCTAAGCGAGAGAACGCGAACCGTAGAGAGGCGCGGCGGCCGCCAACGAGGTAACAGGACAGAGTGTCTTTTTTGGGTGGTTTCTCCTGGTACCCTAGAGAGGGCTCGACCAGAGAACGAGCTCCTCTCTCAGGAGAAGGGCGGTACTGCAGCGGAGTGAGGACGGCAGCACCGAGGACCGCCCCCCTCCCTCACCCATGAGACCTGGGGGAGACGGGCAAAATCAGGAAAGCGAATGGAGTCCTATGGCTTTATTTTAGCGGCTGAGCCTATTCAAAGGTAAACGGCTTGTGGATACGCGGAGGAATCTGATTGAAAAGTTGTATGCCTAGGGAAGAAAACCTTTCTTGGTGAAATATCTTAAATGGGGTTCTTCGGAATAGAGATGCTTGCCCTTGCTTGAGTTCGGTAGGATTTATTTCCAGGGATTACTGGGTTAGCATGGTTGATGTATCATCTCCTAATCAAAGAGAGAAGCAACCTGGAATTAAGGAGAAACTTCCTAACAGTGAGGACAATTAACCAGTGAAACAGTTTGCCTCCGGAAATCGTGGTTGCTCCATCACTGGAGGTTTTTTTAAGAAGAGTCTAAACCAGGGGTGTCAAACTCAAAGGCGGGGTGCTTAGATCTGGCCAAGTTTGAGTTTAATATCCCTGGTCATCCCTCTTCTAAAAAACATCCAGTGATGGAGCGCCCACGATTTTGCTGGCAGAGGGTTGCAGGAGGCTGTCGCAGCCGAAAACTGAGCTTGGGAGCCCGTTTTCACTGGCAGAGTGCTTGAACCATCACAGATGCCCCTGACACATGACATTGAGCTTGCTGTGCCCCCGCCCCCCCCCGGCGTCAAACACAACTGATGTGGCTCTCAATGAAATCAAGTTTGACACTCCTGGTCTAGGCAGTCATATCTGAAATGGTATAGGTCAGTGATGGCGAACCTTTTCAACAAACACCGAGTGCCCAAACCGGAATGGGCATGTGTGCACGCCGAAGCACCGGAAACCCAAAGACCAGCTGGCTAGCATGCATGCCTGTTTTGGGGGTGTTTTCAGGCTGTTTTTTGAGCCATTTTCAGGTTCTTTTGGGGGCCATTTTTAGGCTGTTTTTCAGATTGTTGTCAGGTAATTATTTGATGCTCAGGAGCCCACAAAGAAAAAAGGCCCCAAAAATGGTCTGTTTTTTGGCTTTTTGGGGGGCCATTTTTAGGCTGTTTTTCAGATTGTTGTCAGGTAATTATTTGATGCTCAGGAGCCCACAAAGAAAAAAGGCCCCAAAAATGGTCTGTTTTTTGGCTTTTTGGGGGGCCATTTTTAGGCTTTTCTCCAGCACTCATGA